GGGGGGACAGCCCCGATGCATCTAGCAAACTCATTATCAGGGTAATTTACACAGATGAATTTCAGCTCCAAACAGTTTCTCCTGATGCAGGCGTGCTCATCGTGCCGTGGGGTGTTGTGCGTGACACTGGGTGTGTGTGGGTGTGTCAGGGAATGAGGGGGGGCAGGTGCGTGTGTCCAGACCAGAAGCTGAGCCGCCCGGCCTTCCTCTCCGCCTCTCCCAGGTTCCTGTGCCCATCAAGATGAGGAGCGTGGCTATATTATCTCAGGTCTACCACGCAGAGGAGGCCCGGAGAGTCCGCCAGACAGAAAAGGAGGAAGAGTTCAACTTGGCCTTGGGAAAGACTTACGATTATGTCATAAATATGGAGGGATCTGAGATGAAGGAGGCGATGAAGGACCAAATCCGACAGTGGTTCATCGAGTGCCAGTCAGTGTCCACAGCTCCCTGGTCCCCCCTCACTCCAGTGTCCCCACTACTGTTCCTGCCACGTGCCCCACCTGTTCCCCACCTGTTCTCTCTGGTCCACACTGACCTTGTTCTTCTTCTACCCTCTACCCAACACCCAGCAAACATGGTTGGTTTAGGTCGTGAGCCTCCAGTGGAGGACCGTCTCCACAGCTGCCTTTTCACGGCCCTCTGGGAAGGGGAATGCGGGACTGGAGGGGAAAAGCATGCGCACTGAAGCAGTCCTTTCCTTTCTGGAACTACTCCTTCATTTTCTTTTCCCATCATCTTTCACCATCCTCTCTACCCACCCATTCACATACCTTTTGGCCATCAATCCATCCATGCGTGCCTGCATGCACACATCCACTCACCCTCTATCCATCCAATCAATCAATATTCACCCATCCAGCCATCCATCTACCCATCCAATCTATCTGTTCACCCATCCATCCACTTTTCCATCCTTTTTTTAAAAGTTTTTGTTTGTTTGTTTTTGGTTTTTTGGGTCCAGTCATGGGGCCTGAACTCTGGGCCTGGGCGCTGTCCCTCAGCTCTTCAGCTCAAGGCTAGCTCTACCACTTGAGCCACAGCACCACTTCCGGCTTTTTTCTTTTTTTTTTTTGCTTATGTGGTGCTGAGGAATCGAACCCAGGGCCTCTGGCATGCTAGGCATGAGCTCTACCACCTTCCCAGCCCCCACTTTTCCATCCTTCTGTCTACCTCTCCATCCTTCAATCTGTCCAAACACCCTGCCATCTATCTACCCATTCATCTACCTGTTCCATCGATCTATCCACCACTCACCTGCCCACCCATCTGTCTAACCAAGCACCCTTCCATCTAGTCAATCAACCACCCATCCATCTCTCCCACCATCTTGTATCCACCTAGTGCCCTTACTGGTCGGTTCCCTGATTATCCAGATGAGTCTTCAGGTGGCTCCAGCCTGATCTTTGCAGAGAAGACTCCAGAGCAGGTATCCTGGAGGTGGGAATGAGAGGTTTTCTATAAAGAGAGGAAGGAGTGTAGGGTGTGGGTGGCAGTGGCCTGGGAAGTCTGGTCTCAGTGGAGACATATATGGCAGATGGAGACAGCCCTGGCTCCCGAGGAGAAGAGGCGCGGGGAGGGGGGGATGGAGGGGGGGAGTCGGTGGAGGACTCAGATCCCCAGACCCAGGAGCCCTCCTGGTCTCAAGTGCAGTCCACACCGCAGCCATCTTCACCTCAACAACCTCCCTAGGCATTGGCAATCCCGGCTCTAGCCTCAAGCTCTGGGTTCTCATGATCCTACAGATTCATGTTTCCAAAAAAAAAATAGTTTGTTTCTGGTCATAGGTAAGACTGGAGCTGGAGGTGCAGGCCCAGGAGAACAAAAAGAAGGAGCAAGAAAAGAATAAGGAAAAAGAGAAAAAGGAAAAAGTGAACAAAAAGGAGAAGGAGGAGAGGAAGGAGAAGAAGAAAGAAGGAAAGGGCAAGAAGGTCAGGCAGCTGCTGGCACGGGGAGCAGCAGGATGGGGAGGGCATGGCCTGGGCCCAGGGGGATCAGTCTGTGGAGGAATGGGGTCAAGTCAACATGCCCGTCTCTTCCAGGAAGCAGAAACAGTCCTGAAATTGTCACCCTCCAAGTTTGTACCTGTGATTAGCACTGTTCATGAGGAGTATATGAGTAAGAGGGAGAGGGCTGGCCCATGATGGGCGCAGTGGGGTCTTGAACCCTTGGTTTGGGGGAAAGTAAGCAGCTGCCGTGTGGCTGTGAGCAGTGGTACAGGGTGTGGTGGTGGATGGTGCCAGTGTTGGATGTGGGGGGAGGGGGCGGGAAATGACACTGAAGTTGGGGAGGGGTGCGGTGAGTCCTTGGGTGGAGCATGTTATAGGTTTTAGTCTAACTTTTTTTTTTCTTTTTCCAGCCCTGGGGCTTGAACTCAGGGCCTGGGTGCTGTCCCTGTGCTTTTGTGCTCAAGGCTACCACAGGAGCTACAGCTCCACCTCTGGCTTTTTGGTGCTTAATTGGAGCTGAGTCTCCCAGAGAATCCCAGTCTGGCTTTGAATCATGATCCTCAGAGCACGGCCTCCTGAGTAGCTAGGATTCTAACATGAGCCACCAGCACCTGGCTCTCATCTGAATCTCAGTCATAGGCTCTGGGGTCAGGCGGTACCTGATGGGCAGCCGTGGTGGTGAAGTGCCAAGGACTCCTGTGTGTACATAACGGTGAGCGTGTGCGGGGTCCCCTTCCCCTCACACGCCCCATTTGTTGTGGTCAGACCTGTGGAAGAAACACCATGAGGTTGCACACCCCAGCCAGAGCTACGACTTTGAGATACTCCAGAAAGAGAGGAAGAAGGAAGTGGAGCAGGAGATCCGGATACAGGTGTGATGTGAGCAGATGTCGGGGTTCCCCATTGGGGACTGGTGCCCATGAAGATGCTTCACCACCCATGGGGTCTTCGTCCCCTTGCCCAGTACCTAGCTGGTCCTCTGTAGTCCCTGGTGCCCTCTGGGTGCCACCCTGGCTCTCTGCCCATGTCCCAGAACCTCCCCATGTTGGGGTACCTGGCTGAGCAGGGACATAAGGGCATGGTGGGTCTCTACCCAGAGTCAGACTGGGCTTGGGGCTGGGCTCAGTGCCCACGCTCCACCGCGCAGACCCCGGCCTGGGGTCTATTGGAACAGCTATTGGAACAGCACTTCCTATCATTATTCACACTATGGCTGGCACGCACAGAAAACTGAGCCTAAGAGCTTCTGCAGCTGCCCTGGGCCATCGAGATTTCAAGGGTAGATCTTGGGATTGAGTTCTGTCTTGGGGACTTGTGACTATGTGGATGGCTGGCGGGGAGAAGCTTGTGGCATTCAGGTGTGTGAAGATTGGTTGTGGATGGGGAAGACGGCACAGGGCATGGGTAAGACTGTCTCGTGAGCTGACCCTGCCTCCTTGCCAATCGCGCTTGGCTTTTCCATGCAGCACCTCCCTCCATTCTAGCCCTGCCCACCCCCTCCTCCCTCCTCACACCTGTCCCGCCCTGTCCCACCCGCAGGTGGATGAGTTGATGCGGCAGGAGCTGAGGAACTTGCGTCTAGCTGTGGACAGGGAAGAAACCAGAAATATAGGGACTCCAAAGGCAGTGAGCGGCCTGGCTTTGGCTAAGGAGGGCACCTGGGGCGGGAAAGTGAACGATAGAAGCCAATGACCTTGAGCTTCCTTCCCACCAGAAAAAGGTGGGAAAGAAAGGTGGGAAAAAGAAGAGGAAGGAAAAAGACCTGACTCCCGACAGGTAGCGGAGTTCTCTTCTATACCCACCCTTGGGAGTCCTGGGGAAAGCCCAGTCCTAGGCCTGCCGGGCCTCCCTCCCACATCACAGCCTTGGCTTTGGATTGGCTTTCCCATGCTGGGGGTTTGGGCTGATCATAGGGACACTGGCCCTTCTCATGTCCCCCTTGCTCTAAAGGGAACCTGAGTGGGCGCTCTGCCCCTTGGAAGGGTGGCTGCAACCGCCCCTCTGATTCTGGCTGTCCAGTATCGGAATGTTGCGCGGGGGAACACATGCCCCTCTCCCCCAACCTCTGCACCGTCTTCTGCCCAGGACTGTGGACTCACTGTACGAAGAACTCATCGTTTTCGGCCTTCTAAAGAAGAGTAGGACCGTGGCACTAAAGGACTTCATTGGTGAGCTCTCCCTCCCCCTCCCAGGCCCCAGCTTCTTCCCCCACCTATCTTCCAGGAGTTCTCTCCCTGGGCCCCTGGGACGCTGCTCACCAGCAGGGCCCCTCCTGTTCCCTCAGGCGACTGCGTCTATCTTGGGTCCAGTCTGAGTTTGGCGAAAAAGCTGCCCACACCATCCCTGTTTGATATACGACAGAACATTGCCTTGTATGGGATCCTTCGCCTGGGTGAGAGGAAGGGAAGAGCCGCCACTGAGTCAAGCCAGGGAGGGGGCTGGGCTGGGCTCCAAGGTGGGATGGCTGGGGTGGGCTGCTCCGGGCTGGCGTCTCCTCTTCAAGGGCTCAGGTCCCTGCAGACTGCTGTATTGTCCAGGTGGAGAATAGCATAGCCACCCCAGATGTCATACAAGGCCTGGACCCACTGTGGCCCCACACTGCCAGCCCCTCCCTCCCTCCCTCCTTTAAGGCTGAGTGACACCTCAGGGTCAGTGCTGTTTCCAGAAGACCAGCTCCCCCCTCCCTCCAACTCAATAGTAAAGGCAGAATCTTTCCGAAGCACTTTGTCACCTGCCTTTTTTTTTTTTTAAGAGAAGCTTTTTTTTTTTTTTTTTTTGTCAGTCGTGGGGCTTGAACTCTGGGCCTGGGCGCTGTCCCTCAGCTCTTCAGCTCAAGGCAAGTGCTCTACCTCTTGAGCTACAGCACCACTTCCAGTTTTCTAGTAGTTTATTGGAGATTAGAGTCTCATGGATTTTTCTGCTCAGGCTAGCTTTGAACCATGATCCTCAGGTCTCAGCCTCCTGAGTAGCTAGGATTATAGGCAGGCATCAGCCACTGGCGCCCAGCTTGGAGAAGCTTTTTTTTATTAGCATGTATTAATTGAACAAAGGTTGTATATTGATATGAACGTTTGTGATATTTCCAGACCTTCATATATTTCATATATTCCCATTACACTTTCTTAATATTTTTCAACTAAGCTATGGTTTTTCTATTGCTGTTTTTTGATTATTTATTCTGTTAGTGATTATATATAAATATTTGTGACATGTTCGTATTGCTGTGTTAATAATGATAACCATCCTAACTATGTTGCTCAATTTATTTTGTTTCATTTGTTGGTCATAGGGCTTGAACTCAGGGTCTGGGCACTGTCCCTGAGCTCTTTTTTTTTTTCCTCTCCCTTGTATTTATTTTATTTTTTTTATTGTGAAAATACCATACAGAGGAGTTACAATTACATGGGCAAGATAATGAGTACATTATTTTTTTT